GAACTTTCTGTTTTTAAACTCTTTCGGGTAAGATTGCAGGAGGAGTTGGGTCTAGGAGTAGAGAGAGAGAAAGTGATGATTTTTCACCCATATTATCGTTGTTGCCTGGAGTCAAGTACTACCCAGAGTACTTGAACAACAGAACTGAAATCTGTCCTATCCTGTGCCATCTCTATCATCTCTGACACACCTGAGCCCACAGCTGCTGTCACTATGTCAATCCATCTCATTGGTGGTCTTTCTCTCCTTCACTGACTTTCCACCTTTCCAAGCATGATGTCCCTTTCCAAGGAATAGCCTCTCCAATAGGCGGAAAATAATTGCAGTACCATCTAGAGGCATAACAGACACTGCTAGGAATTGTTTGGGCATGAATGACAGACCTTGTTTGTCCAAAGGGGAACTAACTTTGAGGGTTGTTGGGTTTGTTTCCCCTGCCGCCCCCATCTATCACCAGTCTTGTTACCTGGTCAATTTTGGTCCCTTGGAATCCCCCTTCTCCTGCCTCCCACAGGAAATGTCTGGGTGTAAACAGCAGAAAAAGCTTGTCTTCTCTGAGCGCTCAAACATCCAGAAAAGAGTTTTGATTGGAATATCAACAGTAAAAAGAAAATCTCATGCCAGAATGGCGTTGGAGTGTTCTCTAGTCCCCCAGGGAGCTTCCTCCAGTGCGTGGATTCTTTTACAGTGGCAATCGGTCTTAGCCCCTTGCAGTCCCCAGGGACAGGCCTTTGGAAGGGAAGAATGGAAAACAGTCGCCAGCATGCGGGGAGTTGATGTCTATGTACTCAAGTCCTTAGCAAGAGCGAATCTTAAGGAATTGGGGCTCTGGATCGCTTCTGTGATTTTGAGGAGGATCTGATGTCTCAAGCCCCCAATTAGAATATGGGTCCTTCCCAGATTACTTTACACAGTAACATAGTCAAGTAAGTACCCCTCTTGTGGACTTGTTCACCCCTGCTCCCACCCCTACTGTACTGCAGCCTGTTTCTCCCTCAGATAATCTTTTCGCTCATAATAAACATCCTTTCATGCGTAGAAAGGAAGCCCAATTTCTTCCTTTAAAACAAAACAAAACAAAAAAACACTCGGAGATCGCCTGATGAGTGTGGACTTCAGAGGCCAAGAACTGATTCTGCAGGGCCAAGGACAAGGTGAAACAATTTCCCACTTGCGAATCTACCTCAGATTTTGAGTGCTGAGAACCGAACGAAAGGATGAAAACCTCTAACACCTGTGTGGCTCTGGATTAGAGAGAATAAAAGAGAGGACACACAGAGGATCTAGAAATTGTCAGCCTTACAGGTAGGGACTTGTGAAATTTATAATTTAAAAATAAAGGACTACTTTAAAAATAAGATGACTATAAATCATGTAAGATGAAACATCTATAGAATATATGCTATAGGGAATATAGACTGTGAGCATATCTGCTATATGGGGAAAAGAATATATAGATTGATTTTCTTTTTCTCCCAATGCTGCGAAGACAGAATGCAGGCTAAAAACTCAGCGCAGAGAGAATGTGTTTTTTAAAAAATACCAAAATTAACGCAATTAATTTTATACTTCAGTAAGGAAAACAAAGACCCGAAGTCGTCCGTTATAACAGGCCTTTGCTCCACTGGCGTGGTTGCAGTCTATCTGGATCTGGGCTCCACTTGTACCAATCTCGTCGAGGATCTTTTGTCCTCCCTTGCCAAATCCTTGACCCGTTTTTTTAGTTGGATAATTTTCTTATGTAAGTGACTTTCACTTGAAGTAGAGCCTAATTGGTCATGTCAGAGACCAGACAGATTAATTCAGCTGTAATCATTTCCTTAGCATATCTCGGAAAAGCCAGTTTTTGTCCTAATATGACGCCAGGCACTGGCGCGTTGTATCCCTCAAACTTCTTTCTCCACCCACGTTTACATGCCATCAGGTGCACTCGCGCACCTTCGTAGACGCACTCTAGGAACCCGCGCTCACACGGCCGCGTGTCCAAGCTTCCACTCAGCGCACAGGCTCAGACACGCGCACACGCACGCTCTCGCAGACGCACACCAGAAACGCGCGCACTAGGGCCCCATGTCCACGCTCAAATACGTGCACACGCTTGCACTCACTGGCCAACCTCTCCTGCGCGTCCACTAGCCCCATACAGCTTCCATTTCCCAGCCGCTCACAAAGCTGTCCAGGAGAGAGACAGTGCTGGCAGCGCTTGGGAGAAAAAAAAAAGACCTTTCGCAGGCGCTGACTTCCCCTTGCTTGGGAGGTTGTGCCTTGGTCTACGCTGCCAGTTCCAGGCTTCCTTCAATTCTGCGCCCAGGGTACTACCCGCGGGGCTAAGAACTAAGGGCCAGCTGGGCCTGCTCAGTCCCAAAGCCTGACTCTGATCAACAGAGCAGCGGCGCTCTTCTATAGCTATAATTCCTCCAATCCCGCCTGTGCCAAGACCAAGGGACCCGGTTCTCGCCTTGCCCTGGGCGCTCTACGCACACCTGGGCTGTTTCTAAGGGCCCTCCTCTGACATTGTACATTAGTTTTGTAGTCTTGGCTTCTCCCTTTGGGGAACGGAGAACACAGTGAAGGAAGGAGACATTGAGCACAGGACTAGGAGATGTCAGGAGTACCCCGCAGGCCTTCTTCCTTGCCCACTGCAGGATGTAGTAGAAAGGCGCACAAACCTGTCAAGCAAGTTCAGATTCGCATATGGAAACTCAGTTTGGCTTTAGGAGCCTTGACTTTCTCCAGGCTTCTCGCTCCTCCTTCTCCAGCAAACCAGACCAAATAGAATCTGGTCTCCAGGGTTATAAGAGCTCAGAGAGCTGGATGCTGGGTAGTAGGCAGCCCAGAAAAGCGGAGGGGAGCACCTCCTTTAAATGATAGGGAACGGAGGCCTTGAGCAGGGAGTGTGGTCTGTAGGGAGCAACTGGTTAGTGGTGTCTTTGAGGCCCTGAAACCCTCCGCCTGGCGGGGCGGGGATGAGGGGCAGCCTCTGGATATGTCCTCCCTCTTTTGCAACCAAAGTCTAAGCCTTCAGCACTCTCTGCCCATGACTACTATCCTTGAATCTGCTTCAGATTCCCGGTTTGTTCTTATTTTTGAGATTCTAAGGACCATCCAAGGGCCATAAAAACTCTTGGAGGTGATTTGGGGTTGCCACCCCCCAGTCCCTTCTCCCCCAACCCCAAAGCAAAGCCTTTCTTTTATAAATGCAGAATAGCCCCTAATTGACTATGTGTTTTCTAGCTGTCTTTAAAAATGTCTCTACTTGGCTCAGGACCAAATTTAACCTGGAGGCTATGGGTTTGGCATGGTCTTCTGTGTGGCATCAGCTCAGGTTCTCCTCTTCATCCCTGCAGTCTCGCGTCAGAAGAAGCGAAGCGCGCATTCATTCAACTATGGTAAAAAGATCGATCACAGGAGCAGCCTACCCCCTGAATCACTGCTGCGGAAGTTTAAAGGAAAGCTAAACAGGGCAGCCAGCAGCTTCCAGAGGATAAGGGAGGAGGACACAATCCTTTATGTTATAGTTATACCAAAAGTTATGAATACCATGCATCATAAGCTTTCTTCTACAGAAGACTTACTTACTCTATTCATGTCAGTAATCCTGTCAAAAATCAAGTGAGCAAAAAAGTACAAAGCAAACTATACGTACCGTACCATTCAATCAAAAAGTCTTGTTCTTGGTTTAAAACTAATGTTTAAAGAAACAAGGAAGCAAGTTGACCCTTTACAAGCCTGAGGTAAAATAGAGGAAAAATACGTAGGTTATGTTAAATCAGACTTCTGAAACTATTTCGTTACTCTGAGTTTTAAGGGGTTTGAAGCTTAATTCGTATCATTAAAAACATGTTATTGTGAGTTGTCTTCTTGACTCAGTGATGTTACAGGGTAGAGCAGAACTGTCCCTTGGAGCAGTAAGCTGATGGCTATTCTTTCTCTCAAAGCTGCTGTGCAAATCAGCAATCTCTTTAGTTGGTAGAAACCCAGCCCTTAACCACCGCTTCATGAAGCCCTACAACTCAACCGTGCTTTGGAAGAAAAAGGCCAGCTCCCGGGACATACTCACTCTGACTAGTTTATATGAGGGATTGAACGATAATGTAAAATTATGCTTCTTCCAAATGGAAAAGATTTTAGAGTTTCTTGAAATTTCTCCCAAAAGAAAAGAACAGAGCGAAAATAACCAAACAAATAAATCAGCCTGACGTCACGATGGTACACTGGACGCTTAAAACGCAGGAGTGGCCTGTTTTCTGTGATTTCTCCTCACTTGCCAAAGCCTTCGGAGTTGTAGGCACATTTAGGGCTGGGGAAGTGGGACGGGAATTTGAGATCTCCTGAAGGAGTCTTGATATTCTTATTTGGTGATCGTACTGGTTTCAGCAATGAATATGCTTCTTTCCTGCGCCTGCTGACTGCAGGCGGGACGACCCACCGGGTCCAGCGCGCGGGGTTGGCACAGCCGAGCCAGACGGCGGCTCTTTTCGCCCCCCTCCCCGCCAAGATCTTGTAAGGCAGAGGGCGGGGGCTTCGCCGGGCCTGCTCCGCCTGATTGGCCAACAGCCTCAATGACTGACAACCGCCCCTGGCTCCGCCCTCGCCGCCTTTATTGACACTAATGAGCAAGTTCTTCCCACCGCTCTCCTGCCTAGAAGTGCTGACAGATCAAGGCAACAAATTTCAATTACAATCCCTAATTTGTGTCCACAGAGTGGTTTTTTTTGCCCGTGCTAGTTCTCTCTGGCGCATCAGTCGAGGCAGATCTTGGAGCAGCGAGAGGGGGTGGGAGCAAAGGAGTGCATCAGTGAGAAAGCGCGCGCGGGAGCTCGAGGCCCGAGGCTGGGCGGGCGCGTCGCGCGCTCTAGGGATCCCACCACGATCGAGAAAGAGGAAACGCCAACTTGATTCTTGCGCACGACTGCAAAGGGGCAGAGCTCGGCCTGCGTGAAGGCCCCGAGAATAGCTTCAGTTGGGTGGGGGACGAGCGAGTGTGCGCTCCGGTGCCCGCGTGAGTGTATATGAGAGGGGCGCGCGGCGGAGCAGCGGGTGCCGGGCGGCAGGGATGGCCGAGAAACGGAGGGGCTCGCCTTTCAGCATGCTGAGCCTCAAGGCACACGCCTTCTCGGTGGAGGCGCTGATCGGCGCTGAGAAACAGCAGCAGCTTCAGAAGAAGCGCAGGAAGCTGGGTTCTGAAGAGGCGATTGGATCCTCGGACGACGGGGGCTGTAGCCGTGGCGGCAGTGCCGGAGAAAAGAGCTGCTCGGACAGAGACGAAGGCGCAGCGCTTTCGCCGCCAGCCGGGCCGTTGTCCGGGCCCGCCCGGAGCTGCGCAGACCTGGAGCGGAGCTGCGGCTCCCGCGGAGCCCCGGGTGAGTGGCCCCTTCCTGACTAACTTCTCCCAGGCGCATCCTTGGCTGTGCATCTGAAATTCTGGAAGCTGGACAGTGTGCGGCCGCCCGGTGTCCCTATGGACCAGAGGCAACGCAGTGTCACACGCTTCGGTGGTGGGTGTCAGAGCGCAACTCCTTGCGGCTTCGTCGGCTCCTTTTACGCACAGGGTCATTTTCCAGAGGCTAAAAAGAAACTTCTAAGCTTCCCTTCGCAACTCCTCATCCCTGATTTGAGGAGTTTTCTCATCTGCCTCCCTTGGGGTCCCAGCCAATGGGTGCTCTTTTTTCCTTTTCTAACTTTTAAAAGTTTGGTGGGTGGAGTGGGAAGCAACAGGATATCCCCCCCGAAACCGGAACGAATACTCCGCTTGTGCAAACCAGGAAGAAGGTGGCATATTTGCAAATGATTTCCCGAGGGTAGATGAGGGTAGATTGATTGCACTGCTTTCCATTCGTGATTCTCAAAACCCCAGACCAGCGGTGGCTAGGGTGCTTTGGGTGCCTGTTCGTGCATTCACTGCTGGGCTGAAGCCCGGGAAGTTCAGCGGTTAGGGTTCTGAAGAGCTTTCTAGAAGATGTCTTACGCCGGGCCCAAAGTGGGGAGGCCCTGGCTCTATAGACCAGGGACAAGGGCTCTAGGGATTCTGGATTCGTGCCACTGGGACGCAGGCTGTCTGCGTGGGCATTGGGAGCCCTGGACTACAGGCTATTGGCATTTCAGACTTTAGTGGCTCCGAGAAGCTAATTTGAGGGCTTTGGTCCCTCTGCCAGACGAGTAGGATGAACTCGACCCGCTTCCCCTCTGGCCTTGTGACTTGGGGCCAGGCAGGCCTCATAGGGGCATCGAGCAGAGCGCAGGAGTTTCTGAGTGAGTCTGTGTGGAGGCCCCAATGGCAAGATATCTTCTCTATTTCTCCTGGGGGTTCACCTTTTCCAGGCCTGCGTCCTCCATCTCACCAGTCTCCCCTCTCTGCTCTTTGCTGCCCAGGCGGCTCTGAAGATGGCTTCCTGCAGGGCACTTCCCCTCTGACATCCCCAGGAGCCTCCCCGAAGGGATCCCCCGCCCCCGCCCTGGCCCGGCCTGGGACCCCGATGCCCTCGCCGCAGGCCCCCCGGGTGGATCTGCAAGGAGCGGAGCTCTGGAAGCGCTTCCACGAGATAGGCACTGAGATGATCATCACCAAGGCGGGCAGGTAAAAGGAAAAGACTCCTCATTCTCTGGACGCCCTCCTCGTCCCCTCTCCGCGCGTAGGGAAGGTGGAGGGCCTGTAGTGCGACCGGGCTCTGCTGAGCATTTACCACCCAGTTTAACCCCAGCTTTGAGGTGGAGGAGGCTTGGCCTGTCTAGCTACTTCCACGAAGTGCACAGCCCCCAGAGCAGCAAAGTCGCCGCCAAGTCTTCCAGTTCAGAAGAGTTCTAGATTCGACGGAGTATTCAAATCAATGTAGACAGTTATTTAGCTCTAGTTACATTTCTGGGACTAGAGAACGTTTCTTTCTTTTTAAATGCAGTTTACTGTTTAGCCAAGCCATTATTTGCTTTTTTAGATTCGACACTGTCAGGCAGACTCTTCATCGCAAAATTCCCTGGCAATGGGAGAATGTAATGTGTTGTGCTAGTGTAATGTTAAAGTAGGGTGAGAAGTCACCGAAATCACTAAGAATACCTGTCCAAATCTATAATTCCCAAACAAATCACCCTGATTGCTTTTTAAAAAGCCTCTATAGATCCATAATAATTTGGTTATTTTTCCTAAGTCAAATCCAACATGTTAGCATAAATACTTTGAGGAGTATTAAAGTTTTTTGTAAGAAGTTATGTTAGAATTTTTGAAAGTAAAAATATCTGCACGTGCATCAGTTACTGAAATAAATGGATTTGTCAGATTTTATTAATATGAGATAAGTAGAGAAATATTTGAACTTTAAGTTTTCTGTTTACTTAGTGCAGTGAATAATATACTTGCTTAAAAGTAACTTAAAAACACACATACCACTCTTTCAGAGAGTACACATGGTAAAAACCTGGATAGCATGAAAATATTCAAACTTATTGGAAATTATAAAAACATATTTTATTGAATCCATATGCTACCTTCTACATTTTCACAGCGCTTTTATTAATGATCCAAATTCAGTCCTCAACAACACAAAGCAGCAGTTGTCTTACAAAGGATGTAGCTGAAGACTTTTTATCTTACAGATGCCCTGAAATCACACTAAACCAGTCAGCATATTAAACTGTTTTCACGCCTAGTTGGGAATAATGGACTCTCTTCTCCAGAAGAGATCTTTAATAGCTTTATAGAATAAAAATCTGGCAAACAACAGTACTAAAATTTGCCTTACAAGATTATATTCTCAAAAATTAGATCAAGTGGGTAAAGTACTAGACATAAATCATTAAAGATTTAAGAAAAAGGCATTGTATATTGGTTTTAAAAGCACAAAACCGGTAATTTGCTGCTTTGTCCTTTTAGTGACATCTTTGATATGTATCTCTGAGAAGTTAAGAGGAGATGCTTGTTTTCATTTGTTTTAATGAGAAAGTTTTAAGTAAGTGTGGTTAAATAAATTATTTTCAGTGTACAGAGGGGGAGGGAATAAATTGGTAAATATACATTGTGTTTAGTTTCTGTTTTCAATAAAGAAGTTTTACTATACCTTTCAAATTTAGAGCAACTTTTGCACTTCACCTTTACCATGCTGCAGACAGGAAGTCCTGTCTCAATAAAGAACATATTGTTGGGTTATAGCATGGCACATTGGCTCCTTGTGGCTTTTTATAACCCTTTTAAAATTTTACATTATAATATCTTTTACCACTTTTAGAAATTCAAAATTTTTATTTTCATTATTTGGCACATTTTATTATTTGCATCATTGAAGTAAACATGCTTATTTAGTTGTAGAGAAAGAATACTAAAAAAATTTAAAAATACCTTAGTGCTTATTCCTTCAGTGTACAATTCTGTTTTAAAACTATACTGACATTTCAGTAAACATGGAACACATGTACAGAGTGCAACAAATTACTTTGGAAAACCTCAATTTTGATATGTCCTATGTTCTGATTCCTCAAATTACATTACCAAAGTGAACGCTAAAAGTCTATGCTTATGAAAAGTAGAGATTTGAGAAGTTTCTTTGCTTATTCCTTCTCCATGTCTAATCACTAACAAAAACAAAACCCAAACCCTCTCTTCCTCCTCCTTCATACACAGGCGCATGTTTCCAGCAATGAGAGTGAAAATCTCAGGATTAGACCCTCACCAGCAGTATTACATTGCCATGGATATTGTGCCAGTGGATAATAAAAGATACAGGTACAGTGATCAGAGACAGCAAAATCTCGCGTTTTTGAAGGTTTGTGCCCACTTAATCTGTGCCGTCTGTGAAGTCTCCAGTGGCCTGTAGAATATCCAATTCTATAACCCAACCACCCAAGGCTTCCAGCCCAGCTGATGACTTATCTTTCAGCAAATAGGGAAACATAATTTCTGTTTTGTTTTTAAATAGACACTTAAGTGTTTTCAAGTATATATTGTATTTTATTGATAATGACCACACTTAACACAGTTTGATGCTGGTAAACCGAATGTATCTGGGTGGGAAAATGTTAATGTTTGTACATATACTTTATATTATATTGATTCATTTTCTTCATGACTTTTTAGATCTCTAAAATATGTTCTCTTTAACGTATTGTATTCAAAATAATAAAACATTTGTGCATTCCCCCTTTCCTTAACTTCTGAATTTAAGAAACAATATTTCAGAATTTCTATAATTTTTAAAAACCCAGTTCATCACAATATACACATTTTGACATGTTACTACATTCCTATGCTGTTATAGATTTTTGTTTGATATTTAGCACAATATATATCTATTTTAAAATTTTTATTTTATATTAGTTTGTAAACGCTTTGTTTCACATGATACTCTTCACATTGTATTTCGTATAATCATTCCCTTTCATTATGTTTTACAAAATGAGTCACCATTGGACTATGTTCCTCATTGTCCTATCTTATCAGGTCTCCACTGGATCTTTCCCATTTCTTTTGCCCCCTCCCACGACCCACCAAGTTGTGCAATTCTGATTTTACCTCTACCTATTCTCACCCCTCTGCTCCCACCCCTTCCCTCCTTGGATCCTCATATATGTTTTACTATTTATCCTCCTATTTTTATAATAATGGTCTAAAAGGTTATAATATCTGGATTTTGAAATAGAATATATTCATTGAGATATATAATAAACTTTGAAGAGATGTACATTCTTTCATTTTGAACCAGGTTTTATTCATTTTATCTATAAGAGAGTAAATCTTCAGTTTTTAATGTGATTACAATTTTATTTTCATGAAATTAAAAAAGAAAACCCCCCTAACATTTTTAAAAGGAAATTTTGAGTGGGAAATCAGAGGATACTGTTTTTAAAATTTACTTTTTTGTTTTTATTTTATCTTATTTTTGCACATATAGCAGCAAGTCTTTTAATGACTTGCTTTTAGAAAGTTTTAAAATGAGATTACATCTGAGTTTTTCTCCTTTTTAAAATATAAGGTGACTCTTTTGAAACAAGTTTTCAGTGTTAAGATGGTATACAGATTTTAATTAGCCCATGGAATTATGGGATACTACCAAAGCAGTTGAACAAAAATCACAGTTTAATTATCTCCATTTGTGTGTAAGTTGTTTTACTTGCTGTTTTAGTCAGATAAACCATTAATGTGTTTTGTTAAAATTCTCTGACTAAAAGAAGTTGAGAAACTGACATTCATTCTTTTTTAAAGCATACTGGCTTACATCTCCTAATTTAGATTTTGTGCTGAGGAAAAAAAAGTAATGTTTAATGTTCTTAGAATTTATTATTGTCTTCATCTCTTCTAAGTTAACTTTTCTACTTCTTTCTCCAGATTTCTTCCATGTGTTTGGGTAGTTTATTTTACTTAAGGATTCTTATTTATTCATACAAATAAGTAATAAGCAAAATACCAAATTTTAAAAGATGAACTTATAAAACATAAAATTGTTTTCAATCACAAAATTTCCCAGGAAGAAACATGTTTTTAGTATTTTCATTTAGAATGTTTTACAAAGAACTTGTAAGATGAAACATTTATTCTCTTAGTGAATATGGAATTTTACTTATTTAATATTTACTTATTCAGAATTTCCAAGTTTTCATCCATAATGCAAACTTTTCTTGCATTTCCAAGTTTTCCATTTTATATTCCACTTTTCCAGCAGTACCGAAAAAATTCAGTCTGTTTTCTGATGTGAGAGAGTAGTTTCGGTTGAGTTAAAGTGGTTATAAGAATGTTATAATTTTTAAAATATTCACAAAAACGCACACTAGTGAACTTACTTATTAAATTATCCTCTACCAGTTAGAAGAAAAATAGTTTTTTCTTTATTTTGTAATTATTTTTCAAAGAAAAGGAATCAAGATATAGGATGCATATTGAAACCTTAAGGGAACGGAATATGTGACCTTACTTGAAACAAAGAGTCTCATCAGAGGTGTTGTAATAATGTATCATGCTATCTTTAAAAGAAATTGGTGTGCTACACTGGTTGAATTATCTGAGACTTTGCAGACTGTTGCTTTAAATAGTATGCCATATTTAAAAACTCAGGTAGACAGAGATTATCTAAGTGTATTATTTCATTTGCTATTCTTCTCTGTGTGATTCATTAATATTCTGGTTTCCAGTTCTTGAATTCCCATTTCTTTGCTACTGAGTCAGAATCAACTCATAGCTCACCATCCAGCATATTTCTTGGAGACTGTAAATAGCGTAGAAGGATACTACCAGTGTTTCTCCATGGATCCACTGGTGGATTGAAACCACCAGAGAGACTCAGCTTTGGGTTAGTGCAATTCCCTGTGGACTATGCCACAAGAGGTCTTTGAACTAGTAGATAGAACTAGTTCAATAATTCTTGAATTAGTATATTTTAAATAAATTAAAATGAAATATAGGATTAAATATGATTTTATCATTTAAAATATTGTTGTTTAAATGTTTATCCATATTGATATATTTGACTTATATAAGTAATTGAAAAATAGAATGATTTAGTAAGAATAAACAACATAAAATAAAGATTTAGTAAGTTCATTAGATATCCATTTCTATTTCAATTTGAAAACTCTCTGAAAGAATTTTGTTAAAGGGGCCAACAAAAAGAAATAAAGCAGGTAAATGAAGGTCTATGTTTTCCGAGTATAAAAAAAAAATTAAAATGTATTGAACAATTTATCCTCGGTTTGTAGTGTTACTGCATTAGGAAAATAATTCTAAATTATAATAGATGCAACTTTTTTCCCTATGAAAATAAAGTTTTAAGGAGCTTCTAATTCTTCTTACTTTTCTATTGCCCTTTCTGATTAGCCTGTATATAAACCTAAAATGGGAAATACTTTTAAAGGAAATGGAACAATTTAGATATTGTAACCCTCAAACATTTTAAAGATTTGCTTATAGTGAGATTGACAGTTTAATACTGTGTTCTCATCAATAAAATATCCAGATGAAAAATGGAAAAAACATTCAAACATCATATGAAATGTCTTATGTGGTTATGCATTGTTATACACAAGTATTAAGACACTTGATTTATGGAAGGGATGATGTTTATATTTTTTGCTAAACTTAACACACAACTTCCTTTGAACTATCATTTGGTCATTGTTATCTCAGAAGTTTTGAAAATCCTTTAACTCTTACATATACTGAATGTAAAGAAGAAATGTTCATTTTAGACTTGAGCAAGAAAAGCAAAAATTACAAGAGACACAATTTGTAAAAAGATCTTGGAGTTGGAGATTCTAAGAGGTCCATAGTCCACACACTAAATCTTGTCATTGCCTTGTAGGTACGTTTACCACAGCTCTAAATGGATGGTTGCAGGTAATGCTGACTCCCCTGTGCCACCTCGTGTATACATTCACCCAGACTCACCTGCCTCGGGGGAAACATGGATGAGACAAGTCATAAGCTTTGACAAGCTGAAGCTCACCAACAATGAACTGGATGACCAAGGCCATGTGAGTAGAAGCCCTCCCTTATCATTTAACTGCCCAACCATACCTATACTGTGTGTGGCTGAAAGAAACTCTTATAAGATCCTAATAATCCTTTCTTGTGGTCCACAATCTGTTCAGAATTGAGACAATTTGCATCTGAGCCTATGCATGTGACCAGAGAATTTTATGAAAATAGTTAATGACTTTAAAACTAGATACATTTGTACCAGAATGAAAGAACCTCAGGCAAATGTTTTGTTAGCCAAAAAGCTTGTTTGAAATCCCATGTGATGCTAATTATTATGCTCAGAATATTAATATCTGGGAATTGGATTAATAGGAATAATGATTTATAGTGTTTTGCCTGCTTCTAACTCTTTTCTCAGTTGCGACTCATTGAATCTTAATAACTGTCCCATGTTCATACTGCTTGTGTGTTTTGTTTGCAAGCTTTCAGTCGTTTTGTAATGACATCTAGTATGTCAAAATGTGTTACCATAATTCTTCTTGCTCATAAAATTGCTGATAGATGATACGTAAATCAGTGTTCAGTCATTCTAATAATACAATAATTTTAACACCTATTAATTTTAAGCTATCTTATTCCTAGGTGGGATTTTGACATTATTGTTTTAATGAATAAGTCGCTCTGTATACATGAAATTTCCATTCAGAATTAGTATTTCTATTAGGTTTCTGTATTTGAGAGAGTTTTGATTAAGGAAGGGTTGAAGTGTTTTTGGAAGAAATCATTGTACATTATTTCTCGAAGGGATGAAATAGAAATATTTATAAGAAATACTTGAAACAAAAATGCAAAATTCCATAAACTAGCAATAAAATGACGACAGGGCATGATTTTCAAGTTGCTTAACAGTTTCAAGAAAGTATGCAGGTTAATTTCATTCCTGCACAAATGTAGTTCCTAGATTTTAAGATGCAGTTAGTGAAATCTTACATTATCAACACTTTTATTATTTATTGCCATTTAAAACTTAAAAAAAGCAGATTTACTTTCTGAGTCTAGTTTCAAGTCCCATATTTTAATGCATTGCTTCTCATTTTATTTTTATTTATTTTTTTTACAAAGTAAAAAGCTTTAGTAATTCTTTTTCACTTGACTTCAGTGTGAGTACACTTGTGTCTTCTGTAACACTGAGGGAGCCAGAAAATGTTGCCAGCATATCCACCAAGAATATTTTTTGGGGGGGCATCTAACGGGCATCTATTATTTCTGGTTTTCAAAATCTTAAGTATACCCCATGCTTCTGAATTCTGTGATTTAAGAGTATACATTTTAAAGAGATAAAAATATAATATATTAATATATTAGTTATAAACTCATTTTATTATTTTTAATAATAGTTTTAAAATTTTGATCCTTTTGGTTCAAATGACTAGATTTCTGTATAATAATGATCATATTTAATATTAGACACACATTTAGTAAAAAGCTTATCTAGCTTTTTTATTTGACTTAATTTTTTTATTATTTAACCGCATAGTTTTTTTTTAAAGAACAGTATTTAAGTACAAGAGAATATACTACAAATTAAAATTCTTTTTCATAAATCTAAATACTGTAAATCTTTCACTATCTGAAAAACAAAAAATAAAGTATGTAACAGACATGTCCTAGACAAGTGTATTGCCTGTGAGTGAAATTTTTCTTTTAAGAAATGCACTTTTTAAATAAAAAGCAATAACTAGTATGTGTTTGTGATAAAGATATTAAGTATCTGTAACATTAGGAAGTAAGGAAATTACTTATGAAAATGGCAAAAATGTATTCTCAAAAATAAAAATAATTTCTTTTTAAAAACAATGTTCCTCTGAGTTGACACTTGAGAAGTGGCCACTTCATCTGTTTCAGAATAGAAATGTACTCTATTGAAATGGAAGAGAAATCCCTCTGCTAATGATGTACAAGTGTTCACCTAGTGATTTTGAAACTCTGCGAGAACTGAGGCTTTTATTAGTTAAATACCAAGTTGTTGCTGCAATAGAGTTTTCTCAGCTTTGGGACTAGGCCTAGGATTGCTTCTCACCCTTGCATGTAGTCCTTGCATGAGACATGAGACACCCTTGGCTGCTGTGTTCCTCAAAGTGACTTTTCAGCTGCCCATGGACCAAGGATTCTTTAGAGGGGAACACTGGCAAGAATCCGGAGGAGAAATGTCTCACCAACCAGTAGCTAATCTTGAGTATAGTGAGCACTCTATAATCCCTTCTTATGAGTAGCAAGTTGCAATGTTTACTCAAAGGTGGTACTTCTCTTTTCTTTCCAATTTATCAGTGATTCTGCAGGAGATAGTCTCTTCCCATGTGCCTTACACCCTAGGAAAATAGATTTGATGGCAATAAGGTGGTGTTTTTTGGGTTGTTTCATTTTATGTTACTCAGGAGTGTCTGTAGCCAGGTTTTTTTTGCCCATTTGCTGTCTTTTGCCCAAGATTAATGGTTGGTCAACTCATGTACCTATCTATTGTTTCTATAATGGGCATGCTTAGGTAGAGTACTTTCTTCACATATTGTTCATGGTTTGTTGTTTGATGGCCTGTACCCCAGGCTGCCAAGAACTTCATGACACAGAGGTGTACGTTGTCCTCACAGTCTTTCTTTTTCTCTTTGAGAATTTGGTGATACAGGAGAGGTTGTCATGTTTTCCCTGATAGAAGGAGCTTGTTACATCTCAGACACACAAAATACTCATTCTCTTTGGCACTTCATTAATTTTCTATCAACCTTGGCTTTATCATGTGTTATACTGGAATCAGAGAACTTTATAAGACAAAGCCACCCCCCCCCAAAAAAAAAAAGAAAACTTTATTGCACAACACAGGACATAGAGATACAATTATCTGAGTTTCAGCGATGCCCATTATCTGTGTGGTTTCCTGGTTTATAAGGTCGATGGTGCTTCTGGTTCTTCTTGTTCTAAGAAATAAGCAAAACATTACTAACCGGTCTTCATTATAAGTTTGATAATTCTTTAAAAGTCAATAATGCTATCTTAGAAAACAGAACTGAAGCTTATTGTTATTTTAATAACTGAATAGTCTTCAGATTGTTAATACACACATTTAGTTATGTGCCAGTTGTATCTCTATCATGCCTTACCATACATTAAATCATTTAAAATATAAGGTAAAGGTAAAAAGAAATGTGAAGTGTTTGCAGCTGTTTAGAGAAAACTTGTTAAGGAAACCAAGATTTCATGAGACAAAAGCCTACTTTTCATGGACTTAGTAAACCGAAACTCAGATCACTTTTTGCTTCCTTCTTTCTAATCTGGAATTAACAATAATTTTTGTTTGTTTAATGTGAAGCTTTATGCCCTATTTAGTTCTTCTGAGATTTCTTTCTAAAGACAGACTATGCTGTTTCCCCTCAAATTTTATAAATGCTTTTATTTTGTTTATTTTTATTTACTTATCACTGACATTTGATTTTCTTTTTTTTTAAATTTTATTGGGGGTTTTGCGTGTGTGTGCGTGTACAGTCAAATCGGATCTGACTGGTACAGGAGAAGATCGCCCTTTCTGCTTTTGCATTTGATTTTCTAGCTTGGAGAAGAGGAAGAGTTTTCATTTTTATCACTCTTTCCAAGTACATGTAATGATTTTCTAAGGAGAAAAATCAGTTAAATAGTGGAGAGTTGGGGGAAAAGCACTTTTAGAGGTGAAAGTACTATTTCCAATTTTATGTTCGTATTTTTAAAAGAATGTTATATTAAAATTTATTATAATAATAAATGATTTGAAGAAAAAAGACCTGGACAGTTACATCACAAAGCCAAGTGGTGAATGATACAACTCTCCATTGGCTTAATTACCTACCGTGTAAACTTAGGAGGATCTTAGTTTCCTGCATTGGGCCTGGCACAGGGTAAAGCTTATTTCTGCGGTATAAATTCTGTAGGTGAAAGCAAATAAATATGATGGTGTCATGAAAATCCAGAGAACTTGACCTCAAGCTTTAGCCCTGAGAATCCAGAATTCTCTTAGACCAGTGTATAACTTTGAGGTATTAACGTTGGTTTTCCAAAAGGTTTTTTTTTTTACACACATTTAAACAAATTCCAAGATTTGTCTAAAGGTTTCTCCTCTCAATTAATTATACCCAAAACCTAAATTCAGACCTATGGCAAAGACAGATTGTGATTTGTTAACTAAGTTCATTAAAGATTCTTGAGCATGGAAATGCAGGAACAAATATAGAAAATCCCTCTGGATGAGATTATTTCGTTACCTGAAATTTCGAAAGCATAGAACATAAAAAGAGGAAATTTTACCCAGAATTCCATAACACAGAGAAGGCAATTTTTATCTATTTTCATGTCGTGGTAAGTTTAGAAACAATTTTGATCCTGACTTTTAAATTTTATATTGAAAAAGAAACATTTTGACATGTTGGTAAATTTTTTCCTGAACATGGCTGAAAAGGTGTCCCATTGCACTGCTATATTTTAGTTTACCTAATTACTCTGCAAATGGATATTTTAATTATTTTAAATAATTTTGCAATTATATTTTGCTATACATAGCTGCTTATGAATAGCTGTTCTGAATTTGGTATAATTCCTAGGATAAATTTTGAAAAGAGAAATAACTAGAGAGAAGGCTGTACGGATTTTCAAGGTAGTTGAATAATATTGTCAACTAAAGTCTGAGGGCACCAGCTTTCCATCCCTGGTCATCTATTTTAGAAGTCCTGTGATGGAAGCATTAGCACTGAATTCTCTGGAAAACCAGAGACTTTGCAAGTGAAAGTATGCCTAACTAGAAACACAATGAAGAAGATGAAGTACCCTTAAAACTTCCATGTTTATCACGGCTTTGTTTACAATAGCAAGGAGCTGGAAACAACCTAAATGCCCATCAACAAACGAATGGGTAGAGAAGCTGTGTATATTCGCACAATGGAATAGTATGCTGCATTGAAAAACAAGGAACTCATGCAATATTATTCAAAATGGGTGGACCTGAAGGACATTATGCTGAGTGAGGTATCTCAGTCACAAAGGGACAAATGCTATATGGTGCCACTGTTGTAGAATGAGGCTGG